TTAAAAACAGTTGGATTAAAGAAAACATGTTTTTGTTGAATTATTTAACTAGAACAGTCGAAGGCAATCCTAAACAAATGTGTTTTTAGTCTTGATTTAAAGGAACTCAGGCTTTCCGCACTTTTACAGTTTTCTGGAAGTTTGTTCCAGATAAGTGGAGCATAGGAACTAAATGCTGCTTCTCCATGTTTAGTTCTGGTTCTAGGTATGCAGAGCAGGCTGGAGCCAGAAGACCTGAGTGGTCTGGAGGGTTGATAAACTAATAGCAAGTCTGTGATGTATTTAGGTGCTAAGCCATTCAGAGATTTATAGACTAACAGAAGTATTTTAAAGTCTATTCTCTGAGATACAGGGAGCCAGTGTAAGGACTTTAGAACTGGGGTGATGTGCTCTACTTTCTTAGTCTTAGTGAGGACACGGGCAGCAGCGTTCTGGATCAGCTGCAGCTGTCTGATCCACTTTTTAGGCAGACCTGTGAAAACACCGTTGCAGTAATCAATTCGACTAAAAATAAACGCATGGATTAGTTTTTCCAGATCATGCTGAGACATTAGTCCTTTAATCCTGGAAATGTTCTTCAGGTGATAGAAAGCCGACCTTGTAATTGTCTTTAAATGCTTTTGGAGGTTCAAGTCGGAATCCAGCACTACACCTAGACTTCGGGCCTGATCAGTGGTTACTAGCTGAAGCGACTGAAGCTGTGTGCTAACTTTAGATCTCTCCTCTATTGGTCCAAAGATTATTACTTCAGTTTTGTTTTTATTCAGTTGAAGAAAATGATGGCACATCCAGGCATTGATTTCTTCTAAGCATTTCCTCAGTGCTTGAATTGGTTCATAGTCACCTGGTGACATGGTGATGTAAAGCTGTGTGTCGTCTGCATAGTTATGGTAGCTGATGTTGTTGTTTTTTATTAACTGAGCAAGAGGGAGCATGTAGATATTGAATAGGAGGGGACCCAGAATGGACCCTTGGGGAACCCCACATGTGATTTTTGTCATCTCTGATGTAAAGTTGCCTACTGACACAAAAAAGTCCCTGTCCTTTAAGTAGGATTTAAACCAGTTGAGAGCTGTACCAGAGAGGCCGACCCAGTTTTCCAGGCGCTCTAACAGGATGGAGTGATCGACAGTTTCGAATGCTGCACTGAGGTCCAATAGTACCAGCACTGTGGTTCTTCCGCAGTCTGTATTTATACGGATGTCATTGAACACCTTGATAAGGGCAGTCTCTGTACTGTGGTGAGCACGGAAACCTGACTGGAACACGTCAAAGCGGCTGGTCATATCTAAGAAAGTGTTTAACTGTTGAAACCCTGCTTTTTCAATAATCTTACTGATAAAGGGGAGGTTTGATGATGGTGAAGGACTGCTCAGAGTGATGCAGTTATCGTTCAACTCTGCCCCTTTTTGTGACCGCTAAACCTCACAGCAGAAATCATTTTCCCCACTTTTCCCTGACTAATGCGCCACATGAAAGGCATAAAAAGCAAGGCTGGGTTCTGATCAGCCGGGACTCTTAGACTGATCCAGACAGATGGTTCCATCTCATTTTAGATTGAACTGTTCATCTTTCACCCCCACCATCACTAATAATGACTTAATCATTAAAACTTCATTAAAATAAACACTTAAGCTTTTACAAGACATTCCTGAAACATGGTTGCTCACCCTGAAGGGCTGGTTATCCTCCCGCAGCAGTGTGTCGCAGGAAGCTTGTAGCAGATATTATTGATTTATGCCCGTTATTGAAGCATAGTCGGCGCTGTGTTATTCCACGCCACAACGCAAGAGGGACAATCATGAACTAGCTGTGGGTCTAGATACGGCCGAGGCGGTGAGGAAGTGGGGGCAAGTTTGTGCGACAATGGAGGGACATGAGGGTATAAAAGAGCAGGGATCCAGGTGGAAAAAGGGTCCCAGTGTTCTCGCACACCTCACTCTTCTAGCTGGTCCATCTTCACGTGTCTTTTTTCAAAATGGCGGTCATAAAAACAAAACAAGGCGGTAAGGTACCAAACAGGAAATATGCATAGCGTAGAGCGGATGTAGATTTGACCAATCAGAGGCCTCCTGTCTGCGGTCACCTACAATTTTGGAGAGTGGAGCAGAGTGTCTGCGGAAGGGGCGGGATCTCATTTGCATTCACTGCGACACACACGCAGACGACGTGGTTTCTGAGTATAAATTAGCCTTTAGCCTGGTTCTGGCTCTGTTTGGAAGTTTCTTCCTGTCAAAATAGCGTTATTCCTTTCCTCTGTCACTACATGCTTGATCAGGTTGAGGGAATTTTCATAAAACTTCTGTTTTTTAGTTTGAATGCCTTGTATTTGAAAAATGATCTAATTTGTGTCATCTAAACAGGATCTTTGTGTTGTACAAAAAACATTTCAGCGTAATTTAATGCGATTTGTTACATTTCTGCCAGATGTGGAGAATTTGCTTCAATGAAAAGTTGTTTGGAGATCATCATTGAGCTGGAGTGTCTGGAAGGTCAAACAGCTAGGACAGCATCCAAGGTACCAAAACCAAGAGAACAAGCTAGACTCAACATCAGAAAAATCAACTTTTTATTCATATCTCATCTTTATGATGAAAACAGAATCAAATACATCAGATAATTTTGTTCTCACAGATTCAATAAAAATAAACAGTGCAATAATCTCAGAGAAGGAAACCACACCAGAATTTCACAGTGCAAACCCATGAAGAACAAGTCCTGCCTGCTGACAGGAATGATCTGAAGCAGCCCTCTTCATCCTGAAGGTTTCTGCTTGTCTGCTGAAGAAACCCGCCTAAGATTCAGAAACCTGCAACTTCTCCAACCATGCTTCCGCACAGCTCTGCAGATATCTCACCCACAGAGTGCTTCCCCTTTAGAATCACAACAGATCTGAGGAATTCAAATTTTACAACCATCATAAATTAGTATGATATCAATATCCTGTAAATAACAGAAAGAATCACGTTTAACAAAACTCAGGAAGTGCACTTAGTTTTTAGATGACAAACATTTTGTGCAAAAGGAGGAAATGTTGTTTGAGGAGTTTGTGAGCAGAGAAACGGAAAACAGAATCCATCCATCCATCTTCTTCCACTTGTCCATCAGGATAACATTTGACTGGTGCCAATCTCCAGCAATCTACAGGCTTAGACGGTGTACGCTGTGGACAGGTCGCCTGTCCATTAGTAGCCTATCCTTTTTTAGATTTCATTAATAGCAGAGTGTGGTTATATTGAAAACAAACTCACTGCTTAATTTCAGGTTGCTATGATCTCAACCTGCAGGAGGATTTGTTTCAGTGTCAGGAGAACCTGTATGTTCATCAGGATCTATAAGATGCAGGTATCTGCAAATCAATCATCCATCCTTACAGTCACCTGACCCCCAGGTTAAAGGTCATGTGAGGATCCCAATAAACTCTTTCAATATGATCAGATTCACACTGTGATCCAAAATATGCGGTAAGAAAGAAGAGTTTTAGATCAGTGTGTGTCAGGCCAAACCTGCAGCTGATATCGGTTGGATTTTAGTGTTCTGTTTTCAATGTAAGTGTCCTTCTATGCAGTTTCTGTAGTTTGTTGAAGGGTGTGCTGCTGCTGGTTCTTGGACCTGCGTCGGTTCATTCACTTTTAGGTTTTATTGGATAAGTTTGGTTCCTCCCCACATATTCTAGTGAAGGTTCTCAGTCATCCAGGTCATAGTCATTCAAAAAAAAATAAAAACAATCCACTGGACTTGGTTTCCAAGTTTGAAGACGTTTTTTTTGGAATGACAAAATGTCAAACTTGGAAACCAAGTCCAGTGGATTGTTTTTAACTTTCCACATATTATATCTGAGGGAAGTTGGCAGCATGGGGCTACCAAATGTTTGAAATAAAATGAATTGAAACACAGATTTCAAACTGTTAATCTAGCTGTTGGAACACTTTCCAGTTCCAACAGTTTTCCTGCCCAGTCTGCTGCTGAAAATTAATCAAAAAGCCTTTTTTTGTATTACTTTTTTATATTTTAGAACAATAATAATCTTCTAACTCAGGAGTCTCAAACTCTAACTCCTCAGGTAGCATCACTATTCAGCAACACTGCTAAATTTAATCAAAATCAAGGTCTTGGTAGAACTTGCTGACTCACCAAGGAGGTAATTTAGGAGTAGCAGACCCCTAGTTCTACAAAGAAAACAAAACACTTTATTTTGCGGATCAAGCCTAACTAAGTGAGCCTTTAATATGGCTGCTCACACTGAGTTTGGTTCTGATTAAGGTTTCTACCTGTTAAAAGGGAGTTTTTCCTCTCCACTGTCACTACAAGCATGCTTATTGTGAGGGATTGCCTTTGAGTCAATGAGTCGATGCAATCAACTGTTTTTCCTCAGATAGAAAACTTTGAATCTATTTGACTGTATGATCTGGTGAACTGTAGAGTGCCTTGAGATGACATGTGTTGTGAATTGGCGCTATATAAACAAGCTGAATCGAACTGAATTAATATTAATATCAAGATAAATATAAGATATGTGCCTCCCGTTAAAAACATAAAATTGTTTATTACTAAAAAAACATTAGTTTTAAAGGCTTGTCCAACGTGTTTCCTGCTAAATTCTACTCAGAAATTGCGTAAAAAGACACAGAAGTAAGGCTACATTTCTTTTTGCTTTCATTGTAACAAACAGGTATTTGTGTCAAGTTAATAGAATATCAACAGTTTATTCAGGTTAATTTAAACCCACAAAGCTATTTATGTTAGATGAGCGGAGGCGTCATAGAACCAGCAGCAACACAGAGCCTACTCCCTAAACCAGAGTTAGACTGGATTCAAGTTAGAGTCACACCAGCGACTGTTCGTCGGTTTAGTTCTAAACTTAAACCAGAATCAAACTGGTCTTAGAATGGAGCTGGTGTGGATTTAAAATTAGCACCAGCTGAAGTTTAGCATGAATCTCAAACTGGAATAAAACTGAATGCAGGAACTATATCTAAATTAAAAATACACACAAGGTGTTTTTAAAAGCTGATGTTTAATTTTAATCAAGCTGGAGTTTTAAACCCGAGTCTTGCTGGACTCATAGCGCCGGGAAGCTGAAAACAAACTAGAGTCAGGCTGGAATGAAAAATTCACAAGCTGCAAACAAGCACAAACCAACAAACAGCCTGGCAAAAATATTCTCAGTTTAAAATATTCCAATATAAAAACATGTTCACATTCCAACTACACTCCACACACAGACGTCACCATCTTTTCTCTCAGAAATATAAAAACACATCACAGCGATGTGCTTATTATTCTTTTCAAACATAGAGGGGTTTAGATTTTCTGCTACACGACCGTCAGACTTTAAAAAACATCTGAATCTTTTACAGATAAAAAAATATGAACTAGAAAGACGACAGAAAACTTTGCTACACCTGAACAGCCACGCCCTCCTCTCTGATTGGAGCGTAGGATGATGTCATCATACATGCGGGTGGGAACCATTGATTAAGGAGGCTAAACCTGTCTGAAAGGCTGTCTAAAGACTGAGAACCGTGTGGACCGCCCCCTGATCTGAACCAGGGGCCGTTCCTCATACTGCATCTTTGTGGTGAAGGTTTTCACTAATACAGACAAAATGAAGCTGGGTGTGTTTGTTTGGGGCGGATCGATGCTCCTTTACTAACAGACACCATTTATTCTAACCTGTGGAACAATAACGATGTTTAGCTGAAAAGCTCTGATCAACAACTCAAACTGTCACATGGGAGGAAGAGGAGCGTTGAACAGATGAATCTTCAGGTGCAAACAGAACCGAATCCAACGACTGTGTTGAAGGAACGACGCGACTGGAGAGTTTGACTCGTCAACAAATAATCGGGTTTGGATCACCTTAAAGCTCTCAGAGGTTGGTCGAAACTGACGATGGTACATCATTATCATCATCATCATTACATCCTCATCATTTGCATAATCCCAAAGACAGCGTCATTATCAGTAATATCACCATCTTCCTCACCTCCTCCACATTATAATCAGTGTAACCTTCATCAACTCTAGCACATTAATAATTGTTATTATCGCATCATTATCAAAATTTTCATCACCATTATGACCAACATAAAAGTCCTTGTCCTAACTGTCATCTTCATGATGATGAGGATCATCATCACCTTATTTGCATAATCCCTCAGAACAGCTTCTTCATCATCATCATCATCAGTAATGACACCATCTTCATCACATCCACCATCATCATCTGCATCAGTCAACATCATTGTCACCTTTATCAACAGTGTTATTATCGCATCATTATCATCTTTATCATTATCACCATTATGACCAACATAAAAGTCGTTATCATAACTTTCATAATGATGATGATGATGATGATGATGATGATCATGATTATCATTGTCATGATCATGATCATCCTGATTTCTCCGAGTCAGTGGAAAACGTAGTTCGGGATAACCCTATTGGTGTCTCATTGGTCTCAGATGGCGGTGTCCCAGAACACGGTGGTGGTGTGTCCGGCTGCATTGGGCGGGGCTGAGTATGGCGGCGGCTGCTTCCTCCTCCAGGTGGGCAGGTTGGGCATGCTGTCCTGTTTGCACAGGTTCTTCTCTGGCCGTTGGCGAGCTTTGATCTCTCGACACAAAACTCTCTTTTTCTCAATCATCTCCATCATAGTGGCGTCACCACAGAGCCACGGCATCTGGTGATGAAGAACAGCTTATCATCATCAGCACATCGTTGACCCCCAGACTGAGCTCGGAGCCTCTCTGCATGGGGTCAGTGTTAGTTCCAGACATGAGGGTAGTGACATCAGTCTGTCACTGTGGCAACATTCAGGCACCAACACTCAGACAGGAAGCAATCAGAGTTGAATTATCGAAGTAGAATATTCAGCATTTCATTTCTAATGAATTTCATTATCCTAACAGCCTAACGAGCGTTTTCATCTGGGATCAAGCATTTGAGAAAACCAGCAATTACTGGTTAATATCCCTCTAGAGGATTTTTGGCCCATTCTCCTTTGTGAGATGGTTTCCTGTTTACAGCCATGTATTTAGAGCCTTATTGTACTGATTGACAGATACAGTCTGGGGGCAGTTTTACTACAAAATACTTTTACTGAGGAAAATCTAAATATAATAATCACAGCTGTTACTTGAGTAAAATGTTTGGGTAGTCCATCAGTAGTACATTTATCGAATAATGAACAAGCTTTTTTTGTCTCTCTTTAAAGAATAAGACATGCAGTTAATATTTATATTAAACTGATTGTTCTTGTTTTGTTATATTCAAGCGTATTTGAACCTACGACGACATTTGGAGGTCAAGCTGACATACAGTAAGGAGTAAATATTGTCAGCAGAGGTGGAGGTTTTATAACCCCTATGTTAAAAATAAATTTGATAGGAAAAATGTTTCTTCTGTCTGGAATCGTTTCTTTTAAAATATACAATTTCATCCATTAATGGGGTTGTGAGCGGTGCTGGTGCCTATCCCAGCTGTCTAAGGGTGAGATGTGGGGTCCACCCTGGACAGGTCGGCATTCCATCGTAGGGCAACACAGAGACACACAGGACAAACAACCATTCACACACACACTCACACCTAAGGAGAATTTAGAGAAGCCAATAAACCTAACAGTCAAGTTTTTAGACTGTGTGAGGAAGCCGGAGTACCCAGAGAGAACCCATGCATGCTCATGGAGAACATGCAAACTCCATGCAGAAAGACCCCGGGCCGGGAATCGAACCCGAGAACCTTCTTGCTGCACGGCAGCAGTTCTACCCACTGTGCCACTGAACAGCCCAATATGCAATTTATTTGTGTAATTATTGTTATAATCTTTAAAATATCAGGATTTACTTTACATTTTGGTCTGTCTTTATTAAATAGTTTTAAACAGCAGATGTTACAAGTTACCCAGCAGTTAAATAGCCTTTTTACCAAATGCTTTTTTTTTTTTTTACTCTAGCATTTTCTTTAAAATGAAATTTCTAGTCACACTTGAGTATACATATCATGAAGTAGTGCTACTATTACTTCAGTACGATGTTTGGGGACCTGACCCTCCTCCGACACTTGCTCGTACTATGTGGCTCATTTTTCTGCTATGTAACCTAAGTTTGGTTGAGCTTGAAGTTAAAAAATGACAAGCAGGCAATCGTTTTTTAAAGGGTTCCATTTATTCCCCTTTAGTTCACAAATTAAAGCCTCTTCAGCATCAATTCAATTCAGTTCAGTTTATTTATATAGCGCCAAATTCACAACACATGTCATCTCAAGGCACTTTACAGTTCAACCAGATCAAATTGATACAAAGTTTTCTATCTAAGGAAAACCAGTTGATTGCATTGACTCATTGACTCAAATACAATCCCCCACACTAAGCATGCTTGTAGCGACAGTGGAGAGGAAAAACTCCCTTTTAACAGGAAGAAACCTCCAGCAGAACCAGGCTCAGTGTGAGCGGCCATCTGCCGAGGCCGACTGGGGTTCAAGGAGACAGAAGCAGAGATACAAAAAAAAAAAAAAAAAAAATCAATATGTTCTACTTAAACCCATCTGTCATATTCACCCAAACTACCTTATATTAGTGATTCATAAACTCTCCCTTGAAATCAGATTTTATGAAGGATCTGCTCTGATACCTTGGATGAGTTCATTGTGATGCACTTTTTAGTAATTTTGAATGATTAACGCTCCCAAGTTGCTTTTCTATTACTCATTTCTAGATTGTTTTTGCAGTGCTGGGCTCTCAAATCCTAGTCCAAAGGAGTCCTGTCATTTAACTTTTATATTTATCTGTATTTTAATGCATCTCACTAAAACATTTGCTTATTAGCAAAGTTTGACTACATGTTAGTTATACATTTTAGTCATTGGATCCATTTGTGGGAAAATAAATAAATGAATGAAGACCATGTGTCCTATTTTTCTTTCAGAGATATTAAAGATTATTTTTTAGGTCATCCAGAGATTCCTATCCCTTCATTGAGCTCCAAACTAAATCAAAATGATCTAATTTTTCAGTGCTACTTATTTTCTGAATCGTTTTTAATGATTCCCCTATCAACCCTATAACATCTTCTTGTCAAGGTCTCAGTATTGGCACTTCACAATAGAAGCACAGTGGAAATGTGACAATTTTAGACTGCTGCTAAATTGTTCTCTATTGAAAACCTTTGAATCTGCTTAAAGAGTCCTTGCATTTTTTGAAAAGCCCAGAGCACTGAAAAAGTAGGTCACTTTGGTTCAGCAGGGGTGCATTTGGCTGATGCTCGGAATCTGGTGTATTTCCTTGTAGAAGGGAGGAGGACGAATAGTTCTAGGCTTTTTAAAGCCACCTAAAAACCTCTTCTGAACTTTTCTTATTTCCTCCTTTATCAGCTTTATTTCCTCTTAATTCCATTTTAACTGAAAAAAGCTTAATCTTGGCGGCACTTGACGCAAGGTGAATTCTTAAAAAGTTCAAATTTTCACCGCTCCACTCTCTCCATGCGGTGCTGCTGTTTGACAACACCTCATTTCTATCAAATAGGAAGAGTTGAGAGCAGAGCACTGACCCTGCCTCCTCACTGGCTGCATCCCTGTGTGGTTTACATAAGGATACTGTGCAAATCCAATGACACCGCATTCAGTCTGAGTGCCACTTAAGGAAACTACTTAAGGAACCACCATCTTTCTTATGTAACCTACTTTTGCAAAACTTGTTGATGCAAAGTATGTTTGTTGTTTGGCAGCCTGCTGCAGACAGGGAGCGAGCTGAACAAAGGAGCTGTAGCCACGGTCCTCTGATATAGTACAGCTAGGTTTATGCAATAAATAGCAGTCTTTAATTTACATTACATGAGGGAGGATAACATGTACGCTTCATTAAAAGAAAACACCGACCTCTTTGAAAGAACCCACACTGAAAACTTAATGTTAATGTTAAAATCAGAATACCAAACTTCTTCTGCTCTCCACAACTAAAGCAGGGACATGTATAATTAAAATGCTAAATGATGTTAGTAATTAAAACAGACAAAAAAGACAGTTCTGTAATGAAGTTTGTGTTTGGGTCTGTTTCTTATCTCAGGAGTTTCTTCAGTAGTTCCTTTGTGGTATATTTTATTGTGTCATATTCTGTTAATTTTATCCTTTTAGGGTTTCTATGTAGACTTATAGTTGGTTAAATATATATAAAAATAATCTAGTTAATTTCTGCCTTATGATTTATGCCCCTCTGTTGCAGCCTTTTAGTTTACACATTCACTATTATGAATGTCTAAACTACAAAGGTTGTCGTTTTAATATTTATCTTTGGCTTCTTTGTCTTAACTTTCCCAGTACTCCATCAGCTGGATGTATCATCATGGAAAGGATCTGTTTGTTTTCCTTTTGTCTCCATGCCCAGACATTGACGTCCATCCATCCAGTCTATGGGTGAGAGGCTGGGTACAGCCTGGACATACAAAGACAAACAACCATGCACGCACACACTTATACCTAAGGACAATGTAGAGAAGCCAATTAACCTAATAGTCATGTTTTTGGACTGAAGGAGGAAACCGGAGTACCCGGATAGAACCCATGCATGAACAGGGAGAACATGCAAAGAAAGCATCAGGGCCAGAAATAGAACCCAGAGCACTCTTGCTGCAGGGCTACAGTGATACCCACTGCTCCACCGTGTGGACTATAAAATTAATACCGATGTTCCTGCATAAAATATTTTTGTAAAAAAAATGCTGATAATCGGAGGACATTAGTGTAACTTAGTGACTAAGGGAGAAAGAGGAAGGGACGTGAGAATGAGTTAGATTTGGAGCAGTGGTTTTGTCATGGACAGCCGCTGAAGTTTTCATGGATTAAGATACATCTATTTAACCCTATAAAGCTGGTGTCAGCTTATTTAGGTTCAAGGTGAGCTTGGGAGAAGTTGCAGAACTCCACACTGTCTGTTCTGTGCTTTTTGAGAGGCATGGATTTTTTTTTTGTTCCCTTATTGATAATTGCTAATGTCGCTGGAAGCCGTGATGCGACTAAATCTAGGATACTTCTGTTAAAATAAGCCTTTTAAATTCATATAATTCAGAACCACTTCGTATGTCCTGATGCATGATTAAATAGGATCAGTATTGTGTCATAAACACTTTAATCTCATTGTGAATTTATTCGTAATTTTCGATAAAATATTGTTAACTTATTGTGTCTCTATTATGTTTGCATTGGCGTCCCTATTCAACCTAATTTTGAGTTCCAAGTCAAGGTAGTGAATTTTAAATAGGTTTTCTTGCAGTTTTATCCTGTGTAAATGGAATTAAAGCTGGCTGTCGAAACAAGTTGGCTTGCAAAACAGGTATTTTTTTTCCAAATTAGTTGGCTCTTATATGATTTGTTTCAGGGCATAATAGGGCGAAACTAGCAAAAAACTGGACAGAAGATCCATTTTAATGTTTAGCCAGTCCAGTATTAATACAAAGAAACCAGAACTAAGAACACAAACTACAATTGCTCCAAAAGGATTATTTGAACACAGAAGTAGACATACATGAAAATGATAACACTGTAGACTCAGACAGAACAAACAGCATAAGAGACAACATTTAGGTTTTTATTGAAAAAGGTTTGACAAAGAAACACAATCACGGGAAGGAGGTGATGGAGGCAGGGTGAAGTTTGGCTCAGTTCTAGTCCGATTCTACCAACTGGCACTATGGAGGTTCTGTTATGCTTTGAATGAGTTCCAATCAAAAGAAACTGTATAGAAATAACAGACTGTTTTGCTTGTGTTAAGCTTAATCTCTACTGTGTGATTATATGCATACCTCACACGACAAATGTAGGAGAACTGTATTAAACGGACTGAAACTGGGCAAAATGTTTAACAACATGGTGGAGAACATGTGTATTAAAATAGACAGGGTTAGAATCAGGAGGGTATGGATCAGGTCAGCAGGGGGTCAGAATAAAGCCCCATTTACACTACCCTTTTGAAACCGTACCGAGATTGGTCTGAGCACGGTAACCGAGATAACTGTTTAGAGTAAATGTCACGCACAACCGAACCGGACCTCGCTAAACTGGTACTAGTTCATCGGTAGGGCTTTGCGCGGTTCAGTTCTGGCTAAAGGCTGATTTATACTCAGAAACCAGGTCATCTGGGTATGTGTCGCAGTGAATGCAAATTTGCCCTCCCGCAGACACTCTCCAAAATTGTAGGTGACCGCAGACAGTGCCGCAGACAGGAGGCCTCTGATTGGTCAAATCTACATCTGCTCTATACTATGTATTTCCTGTTTGGTACCTTACCGTCTTGTTTTGTTTGTATGACCACCATTGTGGAAACGACTTTTGAAGTTGGACCAGCTGGAAGAGTGAGTTGCGTGAGAACGCTGGGACCATTTTTCCACCTGGATCCCCGGCTGTATCTAGACCCACAGCTAGATCGTGATTGTCTTGCCTTGTGGCGTGGAATAACGTAGCGCAGACCACGCTTCAAACTTGGGCATAAATCAAAATCATATGCAACAAGCTCACTGCTACACACTGCTGCAGGTGTATAACCAGTCCTTCAGTTCTCCGATAACAAAGAGCGTACGAGCAGACCGCGTCATCTCCTTACAATCAGCGTCGTAATCATGAAATTTTAGAGTCTTAAAAATACTAGCTTCCCTACCGTGCCATACAATTTCCAGTGATGATTCCTCTTAGCAGTGTGATGAACCTAAACATCTGCCGTTGTTTCCTGTGTCTGTAAGCCCTGATTAGACTATTGTTTGTCGTATCCACTTCCCAAAAAGCAGACTGTCAAATCCACCAAAGGCAGCCTTCTTCACCTGACTCCCGCAAATAACGAAATATCACAATGATAACAAAACATAACTTGATTTGCCTGTTTAACTCTAGGTAGCAGTAGTACTGTAGATCGTCACTAGGAGGTGAGGAACTGTGCTAGCGTGGTGTGTAAATGGTCATAAGGAACCAGGCTCGGCACAGTTAACTGATCCAAGCTCGGCATGGTTCGGTTTTCAGGGAGTAGTGTAAATGGGGTATAAGGAGCGGTAGAAAAATAATAATAATAATGGGGTGTAGTCAAAATGCTTTATAATGAGGGCACAGGCAGTATGTGTATGACTGGAGCTGGCAGGTATGGATCAGAGTAGGACCTAATTAGAAAGTATCAGAGTGGGAGAATTCAGCACATATTAGACTCGGCATGGTCAATGTAGGGACAGAGGTAAGAGGATTTTGCTTGAGTTCTTGTTTTATGATACTTATGTTTAAAAATAGTTTAATGTGTTAAAGTGCTTGAGAATGACTCAATGTTAGTTCAGCATCAGTGTGGTGTTACGGTGCTGCTGTTTAAAACTTTAGCATGTTAGTAATAAAGTGTTATTGAGCCAGTGAATGTTTGGCTGCAGGCTGTTAGTGATTATAATTTAGATTAAGACCAAAAACTAAGTTCAGGAGAAGGTCTGAAGCTCCTGTTCTCTGTTTGTTCACCAAAGTTCAGTCCTGTGTGAACATTTCAAACACATATGGTCAGGACAAGTGATAGAGACACAAGCACACAGGTGACAGGGTGCTGGACAGGTGTCTTACCTGGCTGAGGGCAGGATGGTGGGACTCATGGAGGTGGCGTTGTGGAGTTCCTGGAGAAGGAACCCCTGATGTTGATGCAGATCGGCCCAGTTTTCCTACGGTCTTTGATTCTGCAGAACCACACACCAGGACATCATTCGACATAGTAATATTGCAATAGGTTTAGACTTGTGGAGGACATAGGGACCCCCTATTCATCATTCTGCTTCATTCTATTTCTATTCTACCACTCTGCAGAATCTGTTAGTTCAATCTCTAATGTTATGCTCTGTCTGCTTTCTTCTTTAGTAGCTTCACCTTGTCTGTTCCTGTTTGACTGTGACACCATCCTGGAGAGAAATATCAGCTGTGCTGCTGTCATCAGCACCTTTGTTTATAGATGTTGGAGATCGGCTGAACGTGGAAAGCAACAGCCGGAAGTACAATGGAAAACAGGAGAGTAAGATCAGGCAAAAAAATGGATGGATAAACTTGGGGAGAGCTAAAGGATATGAAGATGTATAACTACTGGGAAATACACTGTGTTCGGATATTATAATTCAACATAGTAAATATGATGGAACACATAGATTAAAAAAGCACAAAAAAACATAAATAAATTATACTAGCAAGTCCTACAGAATCAGACAAAGATTTTATTGAGAGGAATATTAGAAATGTTTATTCCTTTATATTCTGCTGTTTGTAGACTGTAAATAATTCAGTGAAAACAGCTGTCAATACAACTTATCTGCTGTTTCCGTGAAATCCCCGTTTCCTCAGATGTACCTTAAATGGACATATTATCTATGTGATTTAACATTACTAAAATTAAAACAGGTTGCAAAGCTTGAAGCATCTGTTTGTTTAGGGGGAGTGGTGGCCCAGTGGTTAGGGCTTAGAGTTTGGAAACCTGAGGTTCTTGATTCAAACTCTCTCCCACAGCTTGCCACTAAGCAAGACCCTTAACCCCTAATTGCCTGAGTGAATCCTTGGTCGCCCCTCAATGGCAACCCACTGGCAACCACGATGGCAACCCATTGAGGTAAATTTCTCCAATGTGAGATCAATAAAGTTCAGTTATTATTATTATTATTATTGTCTGAAAATTATTTAACTTAACCAAGCCTTCTGTATGGTTGGAAGCTCAGCCTGTCGAGGGTTGAGTTTGACTCACCGTCCATCTGACCTCCTGTTGACATATGAGTTCAAAGCGTTACAGCTACTCACCTCCTCCCCCTGAAAGCATCATGGTGGGGCTCACGGATGACCTCCCCAACCTGCTGGACACAGGACTTGATTGTCCATCTCTGTCTTTGCTGTCATGTCTTGGCAGAGACTTGGAGTCTCCTGCGTTAAATAAGAAAAGACATGTCAGTGCATACCTAAAGAAAAAAACTGATAATTTTGTCTGTTTTTAATAGAACATTTTAAAAAAGCACAAAGAAGAAAAAATGTCGGTAGATGAAACAATAAAACTTAAAGAAGAAAATCTGAGAGTATGTGGTGCAGTATTAATCCTTTTCAACTGAAAAGGTTTTCTGGAAATTATCAGAGCTTCTACGTAAACGCTCAAATGGTTTTCTAAATTGAAAGTTATTTCTGAAATGTTTTCACCTGCCTTCCCCGCTCTATTCTGCTGATCTTTCATCTGCATCAGCAGTGCTCAAAATGGAAGTTATGGCCACACTCTAGTTAATCTTGAACCTAAAGTTCAATTCTACATGTTCACAGGGAAAAATGCAACAACATTTTTTGCAAAAGCAGGAACACTGGATAAAAAGGAGAAAAACTAGCATATTTTAGTATCTGATATTGCTCCATGTAGTGAAAGCTGTAGATATATGGAAACATAAACAGGGTGACCAGATGCCTCTTTTTCCCAGCTATTTCTTGCTTTTCAGACCTAAATAAATGCCATGGGGGGATTTCAAAATCGTACGGGATTTTGGTTGACTGCCTCGAACACATTACAGAAGCTATATGTAACGATCTTCGCTCTGTTGGTTTTCTCTAAGTTTTCAGTTTCAAGTTTATCCAGGTTTTTCTTTGTTTTCTAGCTTTATTGGTGTGTTCTGGATTTATTTAAGTTTCTTAGGTTACTTATTGCTTGTCCTCTGTTGCCCCCTTGTGTTTTCTTCTCCCTTGGTTTCCTCATCAGCTCTACTCACACCTGCTCCTTAGTCCTGCCTTTGTTCAGTCAGCAATAAATACGTACACCCCCTCTGCAGTCCCTCAGTGCAGCTTCCTCGTCTTACTTTGTCTCACCCTGGCTCCTTGTGATTGTTTTCCCCTGATGTCTCCATGGTTCTGATTTATGTTTAATTTTTATGTATTTATACATTTATAAGTTGGATTTTTGGATTCCTGTTTTTGCTACCTGTGTTATCCCATTAAATCTTCACTCACCCCTGCCTCTCAGCCTCTGCATTTGGGTCCTCACAAAAACCTCAACCACATTGTGACAGAAAAACTTAAAGAAAACCAACAGAACCAAGATCATTACACCATAGGGCATTGTGATTAGATTGCCACTCCATTCCACTACTCCATTGCAGGTTTCTCTCTATGGCAAATTAGTCACGCCCATACCTTTTCCCCAAATCCAATCACTTTGCATCATCTATGTGTGATCATGTGTGGGAAAAGTAAAGAGAGTTTGCTTGCTGCTAGTCTACTCCTGAGTGCGACAGGCAATAGCACATGTGTCCACCGGTTTTACAGCAATGCCTAAAGGAAAGTGTGCGTATACGGAAGAGCTAAAGAAAAAATTCTCGCGCTTTCGCCAGTGTCGTGAACCATATGAGGCAGGGTGTTTGACATGTAAGGCAGGCACTTATGTGTCTGTGCCACAGACACATAAGTGCTGTGCCATTGTCTGTGCCTTGCTCAATGTGTGATGGTGTAGTAGTAACAGCAGTTCTATATATAGATGCTAATACTAAACATTAAGATGCAGCTACAGATATATATAGTTCTGAGTCCGACTCACATGGATACCCGCTGCTCTTCTCTGTTCCTCTCATCTCATACAGTTAAATTGAGTTGTTTTTCCTTTATTTTCTCTCTTTTTGTACACTCTTTCTTTTCTCTCTCTCTCTCCCATTAGTTCTTATTCCTTCTTTCTTTTTCACATCCCTGTCCATGTCCGTTATATATAGGTTTACTCCCCAAATAATGTTCAATAGAGTTTCATATACAAGTATCAAGCAGAAGCTTATGGCAACACTCATCCTGGTCTGCTTGTGAAAGCAAAGCTGTTGGCCTATCATCTAGCACTGAGACATAAATTATCAGAGCTATATTTGATAAACAGGACATAAAAAAAGAAAGAAAGATATAAATATAAAGAGCTGTCCCCAAGGCAGAAGGTAATTAAGCCAATGCTAAGGGCCTGCAAACCGTCAGCAGCCTCCCATTAATGCTTTAATTTGAAAATCGATCTAAAATGAGAAAGAAAATACTGTTAAAATTGATTTGACAATTTAAGCAAAAGTATTTAAATGGTTTAATATCTTAACTTAAGGTTTTAAAGGGCCCTTTAATTTATTCCTCTACATAATTCCACCAAATCTGTATAGAACAGTTGTTATAAGTGATGATGATCATATCAGGAAGAAGGGCCAAAACACTACTCATGTTAAGGCCCCATACAACCTTGGGCCATACCTTCCTTTATTGCAGGAGATAACAGCTTAGATGAAGCAGAGTTCTGCTGCATGTCTGACTCATGCTGTTCATGTACGGTACTTTGGTTTCTTTATTAGTATGTTTTCTAATATTCTGTGATATTCTTACCTTCACCCTCTCGGCTCTTCCTTCCTCCTGAGCCTCTCTTCTTCACTTGTCTGCCTGATGCAAACAGGTTGTTTAGTTCATCCAGTGGACTCGTTGGAGTCTGTGACCTCCCGGAGACGTTATGCATGGAGCCATGGGCGGAGGAGGAGTTACTGAGTTTAGCCCCGCCCTCTCCTGCCCTCTGTGAGGATGATGATGATGACGAAGAGGAGCGGGGCATGCTTCCTCCTGCTATCAGAGTATCGTAAGGTGGTGGCCTCTTCAAACTGAGAGGAGTCAAAGAGCGTCCCATGCTGACCGGAGAGGGACACGCTGATTGGCTGCGGGGGTAACCATGACCACTGTGGGCAGAGCTAGATGACTTGTAAAAGCTGGAGGGAAGAGGAGGGGCTGATGACCGACCAGAGGATGTGATTGTGTGTGTGTGGGGCACTTCCCGGTCCCTATCCTTGTCCCTATCCCTGTCCCGGTCTTTGCGGTGGTGACTGGAGCTCCCTGGCTGCTCTGCACCCCCTGATTTACTCACGTTAACATTTTCTAACATAGGTAGACGAGTTACGTCAAGGGGCGTGAGAGGGGACTCGTCAGAGTTAGGGGAGCATTGAGCCGGGGCAGGTGGAAAGACAAGCAGAGGTGGACGGTGAGTTAGGAGGTTGGGGAAGGGTGGGGGAATGTCACAGAATGAGCCCCGGGAGGCCCACGCCTCACTGTCCAGGATGGTGGACTGCACATCCTGCAGAAAGTCTTCCAGCATCGGGTACTTCATCTCCTCATACACAGACTCACTCTGCTCATCGTCAAGAGCTTCCTGACTTTTCAGCTCACGCAGGATGTTTCCAACCATTTCAATATAAACTGGCTCCTCATCGTCTGTGTCTCTGGATGCGGGACTCTGACTCTGAGATGAGGATTTGTCACCTTGTAGGGAAGACTTCTTGCTGCAATGGTTACGGATGTAGGATTCATCAAAAGACGAGCTCAGCTGAGTGTTGGGATCTCTTTTGGGTTTGGGGGGAGGCATCTTTTTGCATTCTTCAGTGTGTTGATAGTATCGAGCTGCAGAAAAACAGAGAAAACTAATAACCCGTGAACCTTCTGCAAATTCTACTTCTCATGTTAATCAACCTTTCATGTTATGACTAAAATCAGTCTCAAACATGTTTGAGTTCTTATTGTTCAATCTTAAGCTGGTATCACAAGATCATCAGACACCCCAGATTCAAATAGCTCCATTACCTATGCATCTGTCGTCCAGCTCTACAGAAGCCTGGAAATAACAGTTTATAGAAATAAGCTCTTGGCAACAGCAAGAAGCACGGTAGTTTATATTCAGTCCTGAGGGACTGATGTCCCATAGGTCTTTACTCCAATTAAACTGATTCAAGTGGCTGAATTGACTCTTCAGCATTCCATCATCTGGAGCAGCCTGCTAATGACTCATCCATTTCCATTAAAGGTTTTAAAACATACAGGACACCAGCCCTAAATCTGGACACTACTTACATGAAGCCTGCCCCTGGACAGAGGTCTGAAACATTGTCCTAAAGCTGAGGTCTTAAACAGGGAGTCTGCGACCCGTAGGGGGTCCATGGAGGTACTGCATTGGGGGTTGCGAAAGTTTTGGTTGATTAGACTTTTATTTTATATTCCCACCTGCAATTTTTTCCACTAATTGAAATGTCATTAAACACACATAACATAAATTCAACACACTGCAGTAAACAGATAAATGGAGGCAGAAGATGTCTTTCATTCATCAATGCACACATTCAGCGACATGGAGAAGCTCTTTCAAACTGGGCACCATTTCATTCACAACACCTGTCCAATCAACCAGGAATCAGAATGAGAAATACTTTAATAATCCCAGGGTGAAATTGCTTTTGTTAGTTTCCTCCATCTGTAATAGAGTGACTATAGGACCAGTTTGATATAACGCTATTTCATACAATATATATATGTAATTAGGGGGTCCCTGCTCCAACACGCCATCAGCATGGGGCTCCTTGGCCTGGAAAATGTTGCAGACCCCTGTTCTAAAGGACATAGAGACTTTCTATATGCTATGATGCTGTTCTCACCTTCTGACGGTTCTGCACCATCCTTTGTTTCTTGATAATCTCTCTTTATGAAACCAGAGACTCCATCTACAGCCTCAGAGCTGCTGCTCAGTTTGGTCGTAGGGTCTCGCCTGGGTTTAGGGGGGGGTTGTTTGCGACTGTGGTTGGAATCTTCCTCTCCCCCGCCCACTGAGTGAAGAGACTGGGATCGAACAGTGAAGCCTTGCGTAGTTGTAGGCAGTCGATCCTGTGGTGCCGGCATTGTCATGAAGCCCATTCTGAAATGTTTCCCAGAGTATGCCCCATCTGCAGCCATGGTGACATCTTCCCCAATCCTGAAAAAGACCCACAGAAAATTTGGCGAGTTCCCTTCTGATCTGAGATTTATTCAAGTATAGTGTCAATAGTCATAATCAGAAATGTCAAAGATGTCCATAAAATGTGTAGAACGTTTAGCATACAATAGTGTGGACAGTAAAATAATGATAATGAAAAGTTTAAAACAAGGGCTTCAATGTAAAACTCTTGATTCGTGGGGCCGTGGAGCTTTTACTTGTTGTTTAAATGGTTTATTTAGCACTCTGCTCACGACCTACTTATTTGATTTAAATAGATTGAAGCACAGACACACCAAAAACTGCAGGGCACCAGTGCACTAAGACTTAGGAGTTGCAATCTAATTCTACCAGTTTAAATTTCCATGCCCTGGTGTTCTGCATTAGAACAAAAACCTCGTCTTGTTCATGTTTTTGTTGTTAGGAAAAGTTGATCTGTTTTAAGTGAAATGTATCGGCATTAAACATGATGATCTTAGTTACAAGACTGCATTTACCTCTTTATTGCCTCTTCCTGCCTCCTTTTCTTCTGGTGTTTTTCCTGAAGATAGTTCCAATTGGTTTGGTTCCGTATGCGGTCGCTCTCCCTGGCGATGTCAGAAGCGTTTTGGATCACCAGACCATCGTATGTTCGAAGACCGCTGTCCTCGACGTACTGAAAGAATCTTCTAAAGGAAGAAGCCTCTTCCTGAGAGGTCATGACTCACAGATCTGAAGAGAGGATAAGATCAGATGCTGTCTGAGCTCATGCTATGTTCTCCTTGGGTTTGAGTTTCAGTTAATCAGGTTCTGTGGTACACAGCTGAGGTTATATGTCAGATTAAATTAGCCTCAACCACAGCTCTGACTTCTAGCAATATACGTGAAGAACATTTGTTGACCTGAGACCTGTCTCCATTTTAATCAGAGGATAGGGAATTTGGGGTATTAGGAAGTGGAACGAACATAAATAATAATGATAATAATAAATCACAAAAATATAACAATTGCAAAAAATAAAAAAAATGCTTTTTTTTGGAAAATTTGACACATATTCTTCTTAGAAAGACTTTGTAAGAATACATTTTAGTCACATGACTCTTAAGTATAGATTTTGGCCATAATGCACTGCATAAGACAAACGGCACCAGTTTTTGGGTTAAAATTAAGATTTCTTAATTTTAACCCGCTTCTGTCTACAGGATCAAATCATATCAAATTTAAAGTTTGATGATTCAAGATGTAAAACTGTGTGAGAAGGAAGGACAGTGCTACACAATATAAAGTTAGATCCTTGAAATCCTCTCATCTCTGTATTGTTGAATTCCTGTATTGAAATTTACCATACAGGTTGTTCCTTTATGAATATGTTAAAACAAATAAGAATAAATGTGCAAAGAGGAGAAACAAACATTGTAACAAACATTTCTAGAGATGGTTTATTCCCAAAAAACAGCTTAACTTCCTGCTGGTTGCAGTTTGTCTTTTAATTCTGTTGGCAAAAAAAAAAAAATGTTCTCATCAGCGCTGAAAGCTGTTTTTCTGGACCCCACCTATGAAAGGTTTAACTCTAACATTTAATGCCTTGCATGTCATTAATATATCTGAACCCGCTAAGGGACCGAGAACCATCGGTTCATGGTCTCTGTTGGAAAAGTACCTTGTTGATAAAGTCTTTTTGAATCCATCTGCTCTCTGTCGGCATCCCCTCCCCCAACCCCTGTCTCTCAGCATCCTTCTAAAAATGGAAGAGAGAGTCGGCCAGCAGTATCCTAGCAACAGCAGCATCTCTCAGAGGAGCATGATGTAATGCATCCTTTTACATGGCTGGTGAAGGAGAGACGATGAAAAGGGAAAAAGGAGGAGGTGAGGGACAGATGTTCCTTCTAACGATGCAAACTCCTCTGAAGCTCCGTCTGACCAGCAGGTCAGTATTTGGAAGATAAAAAAAAACCTACTGCTGCTCCTACCAGAATCATTTCACGCTTCACCTGCAGCTGATTTTATTATTTTCAGTTGATTTATTTACGTAATGTCTCTGTCAAACACATTCTTGAGCCCAAAGACCTGAACCCAACTTTACTTTGAGTTCTGTTTCCTCATGTTTGTATCTACGTTCCAACTTTCTGCTAATTCTTTAGGGAACTGGCAATTGCATAATCAGATGCTTCAAAAACATAAACACTTTAAAGTAGGAACATATTGAAGTAAAGTTGCTGCAACTGAGCTGGGTCAGGTTGGAAAAACACCTGCTGAACGCCAGCTTCTCCAGGTTATGTATGGAATTCCACTGACAACCAAATCGAGAGAAAGTAGAAAGAACTAAAACCAAGGTCAAGAAGAAACAACAGAAAGATCTGTTAGTAAGCAAGGACTGTAATAATTGTAGAAATCAATAACAATACAAACATTTCTTCTTGTTAAAAAAAAAGTTTTCCTTTCAACTGTCACAACATGCTTCCCAGGAAGGATGGATAGCTGCAAGGGTAATAACTCAATAAATCCGCTGGGGTTCCTATGCATCCTTTGAACCACTGACAGAATAACTTCAATTATTCTATCTTGTATTACAGTTGAGATCAGACTGGACCAGGAGTCACTTAACCTAATCTGTCTGCATAAATTGATTGTATTGGTATACATTTAGTGAGTGAGAATTTCCTTGTAACTGGAAATCAACTGGAACATTTTCAATTTAAAGTGCTTAGAGAAACATAGGTAATAAATTGTATATAAATGAGAAAAAAAGGTGGATGGATGAATCTGAAGAACAGTTCAGTTTTGGCTTTTGACTAGCTGCTCTCTGGTTCCAGTTCTTGTGTTAAGGCTCAGCCCCATGGTTCTCTGGTTTCTGTTTTGTATTGCTTAGATTTCCTTTCTTTGCTGCTGTGGTTTTAGACTTTGGTCCATTGATTTTATTCATCTCATTCACTGGGTTGATTTTGGTGGTCCATTGGTTTTACTCCTGTTGTTCTTGTGTTTCGTTCCTGCAGGCCTGTGGTTATGGTTGGGTTTAGAAATGCTAATATGGCAGCCATATTGAATCATGCCTTGGTCTCTTCCTAGTTGAATTATTTCAGATGTTTTATTCTTTTTATTTTCTCTTTATATTCCTTTCATGTCTTTCAAAATTAAATGTCCATATTTAAATCTAAATATTTTACTGTTTTTTATTATTCTATTCTGATTGCTTATAAACAATGGTGGACATGTGGAAGGTAAAAGGGTTTGGGGTGAGAAGGAGTCGGACATGTTTTGAAGAGACTTTATTGACACTTCGAAGGGGAATCTTATTAAGCTAAAAGAGATCCTCAGAACAGCAGACATATTGAATACATGAAGCTGGAGGCTTACCTGAGGACCAGCGAGGACTCACACTCCCTCCATCCTTCCTTCAGTCCTTCCCTCAGTCCTCCCTCTGCTCCCAGATGGAGTGATGGAGCTTCCTGATGGCCGGAACTCAGAGGAAACGATGACTCTGATGTTTTTCTGCAGCAGCGATAATCCACCCTTCAACACCTCCTGCTGTCACAACCTCCTCCTCCTCCCCTCCTTTCCTCCTTTCCTCCTTCCCTCCGTCCTGTCATAAATCCTTACGCCTCACCCTCACACCCTTCAGCCGTGCACACAACGATCGGCACAAGAAGCAGGAGGCTGAAACCACGGCAACCTGACAGCATCCTCAGGCTGCTGACTCCTCCCCCTGCTGACGGCAGCTCAGTGTGTGTGTGTGTGTAAGAGAGAGCTTCTGTGTGATGATGGGACATGATGTTTCTTCACCATCTTGTGATGTCACAGCTCGCTGATCGCCTGATCATATATGAATGATTTAACTCCCAGATCTGGACTCAGTTCAACTCTATACAGTTTGCAATAAATCGACAGTTCTAGGGAAAGGATTTAATATGTTGCTTTCCACCTGAACCAGAACTTATGGATGGAAGCATAGGATGGTTTGAAATGTTTGAAACGAATTCTAAAGGGTTCAGTAATGATCGCCTTATGATGATTATTCCTCCTATCCTCAGTAACATCTTCCACCATTGACCTGCCTCTTCCAATCAGAACCAACAGAACCATATTTGCTGCTGGAACCAGTGATTAACCATTTACTGAAATGAATTCAGATGAGTTCAGATCATGAATGTTTTCTTTCAGCACTTTGTTTATAGATAAAATTGACTTTAAAAGGTCAATCATTGCTTTTACAGAGTTTTGTCCTTTTACTGATATCAACCCATCATTTTTCTGTATCATGACCCCTTCAAAGAGCCTCAGCGAAACTAAAATGTTCATCCAAAGGAAGTTATTCTATATCTTTTTATCACTGTCTGTTCCTAACAGAATAGAACAAAACCGTAAACATAAACTATGTACTCGAATTGTTGATATTGAGCATTATTCAGCTGTGGTTGATGTTAAGCTCTTTAGAAATAACGTTTGATTAATTAGTTGTAAGTTTCGGAGCTATTATCTCCTTTTTGCTCTTGTATGCTACAACTTTTAAAGGTGCTGTAGGAGATCTTCTAGCAAGCTATATTTTTGAACATACACAACCATGCCTCTCCCTTCAGACCATCCCTCGAAACCACGCCTTCAAAACACATGAACACGCATGCTGTCTGCAGCGCGTCTAGAGCAGCAGGAGCGTCTGAGCAGTGATGATGCAGAGCACTATGATCACTCCTCTGAAACAGTTTATTAACGCCTAAATTAACTTAAAATGCCGTAATCAGCAGGCAAAATGTTCGTTTTTATTATCCTGGTGCCTGCAGTTTGGATTACGTAAATGAAAATTGCCTTCCAGCCGCCGTGGCCAACCGCAAGGAGGCAACCAGGCCAGAGGCTGCTGTTGAATGGGATTCCAACGACAGCGCACCGCCGGTGTACCTGGGTCTGAGCGGCTCCGACAGAAATAATAATTGAAGGCAGGATGGAAAACCCGATGAACTGACTGCACTGACAATGTTTTCAGGTGGACTGTCTCACTTCAAAATAGATTCAAGCTACTTTTACCCACTGATCAGAGCAGATATAGCTGCCATTGTTACAGGCAAAGAAAGGATAGGGTAGCTCCGCCCAACGCGCATCACTTTTTCCACCAAACAGCCAGAGCAGCAAAGATGCTTCAGCCGCGCATCAGAACTAAAATTGTACAACTAAAGAACTAAACTTCGGTCGATTCGTTCATGTGTCAGGGTACGGTGGGGAGGGACAAGCGGAAGACCATGATTGACGTGTCAGGAACCAATGGTGTACAACGGACCGTCATTTCTGATTGGTTTGGGTTATTCATTGATTTCACACTAGAGTGGGGACCATTTATTTCAGTTTCACTTCCATACCTTCTATTTTACTGCTTGCTAAGCGGCTGTGGGGAGATCTTTAAGCCACATGGTAAAAAAATGCGTCAGAAAAGATCTCCTACTGCACCTTTAAATGCAGAGAGTTAATTTTGTTGCTCTGTACTTATGTCAGTGTAATGAGTATAAAAAGCTGGAAGAAGGAAGAAAGAGAAAAAAAATAATACCTCTGTGAACTGAAAGTCCTCTTTCCTGTTAACTTCCAGTCTGCTGCAGGAAACGGTGATCTCGCTAAACCTAATTCTCTTAGTAACGCCCATTTGTTTCTCTCGACTGCTGCCACGTGCTTCTTCAGGACAACAGATTGTGTGAAAGGAATGTAATAGCAACGGGTTAAAGATAACTGTAATACTCTTGAATCTGAGCGGAAATCATTTAAAATCTATAATCAGACTGATTAAACTATGATTATTTTAATAACGATTGTTGATTAATGCATTGTATGCTAATTAATTTAAGTTAAGCCTGTTTTGGTTGGGATAAAATTTTCAGATGACTGGTAAAGAAAAGAAAAGAGCTTAATGTCTGGCTCAGACTCTGGCCTAATTATCAGATTTAACTGAACATGCAACCAACCAGATGGATGTGATCTAAACAGCTGAATTCTGATCCTACATTAATTAACCAGCTTCACATCACAGATCTACATGGTTTGTGGAGCTGGGTTTAATTTGACTTGGAGATTCAACACAGACAGGTGAGCCTATATGAAATATTTTACTTGGCGTGGCCTAACAGGCACAATGATGGATCAGAGGAAGCAGATGCTCAGCAGGATGGACTCGGCTGTTTTCTGCAGTCGCTCAGCTCCTTCACATCTCCTTCTTCACATCCCTCTTCTTTGGCTGGTCCCCTTTCCACTGCTGCTCACGTGACTCCATACCTTGTGGCGTGTGTGTGACATCAGTATGACATCATCATGCTTTGACCCAATGAATCTGACTTCCTGTCATCATGTGACTGTCACTTCTGGTGTGATTATATAACTTGAGATAGTTTAGTGTGAAAAATCTGATTTCACCCACCGCACATATGCCACCTAAAAAACAATATTATATCATATCATATTCTATTCTATTGTATTCCATTCTATTCTATTCTAATATCGGGGTGTGTGTCATCCTGAGGATCAGGTAGTTTCTCTGATGTGATAAGAATCTCTGCCATTAATGATCACGTGATTTAGTTGGCTGTTTAATTAATCAAATTAAATCATCTCCTGGGCTTCTCTCTGACTCCATCACTGGAGAGCATCAGGACCACGGACAGCGCATGCGCCGCGTTCTGCAGCACTCCGTGCGCTGCCGTGTGTGGGCGTGCGCGCGCATTCTTCACGTGCGCAAGTGAGAGCCTCCGTGTGTGCGTGCGTGTGTGTGTGTTGGGCTCCAGAGCGAGCATCGCTGACAGATCCGACGGATCGCTTTAAGCACAGATTAATTAGCCCGGTTCGGATCAGTCCGGCACCACACCAGCATGTCGTCCACCACAGAAGTCCAGAACCAAGAACCGAACCAGGAGCCGCCTAAAGAGACGACGAACGCGGAGCAGAAAGAGGAGGCGAAAGAGGCGCAGGGGGAGGAGAAGGATGCGGCGAAGGAGGAGGTGAAGGTGGAGGAGAAAACGGAGGAGAAAAAAGAGGAGAAAAAGGAGGAGAAGAAGGAGGAGGAGAAGGTTCAGAAGAAGGAGGAGAAGAAAGATCAGAACAAAGAATCATGGAAGGATTTCATCTACAATCCCCGGACCGGAGAGTTTCTGGGCCGAACCGCCAGCAGTTGGGGTAAGACGCGGCCTGAGGCGCGCACACGCACGGTTCTATGGGATCATTTCCAACGAACCCAGGCCTGGTTCGGTTCGGATGATTTAACCCACGTTCTCCTGCAGCTGAGGGCCAAACCAAGCCGAGCCGAACTGAGCCGAGCCAATATTAAAAAGATTAAAAGCTAATGTTGAAGCATCTAAAATCTGTGTTCATCATATCCAGCTAATTATTAAACCAATTAGATGATTAAAAAGGAATTAGATCAGCTTATTAAATCAATCTAGTTCATTGAACCATTAGTTGAGTTCACAGTTCATTAAACCAGCCCAGTTCTGATTCTTTCTGTGGGTTTCACTGAGATTAGATCTAAATGTTTAAACGTTGGTTACAGCAAATCAACCTGAACCTTTAGTCATTTTTCTTAGACTTTCCTCCAACAATGATCCAGAGTCATGAAGAGCATAAAGCTGTCTCGCCTGAATGCCAAAACAGCAGACACCATCCAGAAGCAGCTTTTTGACTAAAATCCTGAATAGATGGACCTTTTAGATATAAGGGTGGATGGATGAATCATTGTATGAACCCAAGACAGAAAAACATAAACTATTGATTAATTGTTTTTTTTTTAAATATGCCAATTGTGTGATTATTGCAGGATTTCCAGATATTTTCTCATCATCACACTCCCACTTCCGTACTTGTCTCCCAGAATGGTGTTCTTTTTGAAGTTATGTTGATTTTACAGCACAGTTGATGGGACACTCGGCTTCCTAAAATGTCCACTTTGGTTCCATCTGTCCAAAAATGGCAGATATGAGTTGTACCTTTGTGGGTCGGCATGGTTCCAGCCTGTATCCCTTTCTCATCCATCTCTCTTTCTCATTGGTGAATCATAAGCCATTGGTTCTTGATGAGCTCTTTGAGTTATTTCAGTAGGTCTACCACACCTGAGAAGGATCTTCATGATTGGATAATCATTCTCAATTTAGTACTTTAATGCCCCCAAAATCTCAGAAATAGCTTTTTGACCCAGTCCAGTTTGGTAGATGTCATTTTATTTTCTCACCTGTTCTTAATTTCCTTCAGTTCCAAAAATTGTCCTGCAATCTAGACCCTTCAACCTACTTCATGTTGTTAGACAGGTTATGTCTCAGTGATTCTTGGATTCACGCTAGGGTCTGAATAATGAATCCAATCAACTGGTTTTCCTTAGATAGAACACTTTGAATCAATTTGGATGTATGATCTGGTGAACTGCCTTGAGATGATGTGTTGTAAATTGGCACAATATAAATTATCTGATTTGAATGAATGAAGCGGAAACAGAAATGTAGCTAACTGCAATCAGTTCAGTTTAAGAAGGAATTATATGAGTTTTTTTTGGTTAAGATGCTTTTTTTTTTTTTTTTTTTTGGTTATTATAATAAATGGTCCTTTGAAAACTTTTTGTAATGCTCAGTAATTTCTGTGTGATATTAGAATTCGACTGACATAACGAAATGTATAGGTCTAACAAAACAAATGGGTATTTTACGAAGGGGTTTGGCTGGTCCAATCGGTGAAGGAGAGGATGTAACTGGGCCTCACAGAGAGACCTTCATTCATTGGATCCTGAGTTCATCCATTTTCTTCTGCCATTGCAAAACAACCAGGTTAACCAATTAAGACTAAAATTAATTTTGAATAATTTATGTGTGAAAGTCATGTAACTGTACATTAATTTAGATTCAGACCACATCAACTCCAGTCACTCTCTGTATCTGCAGCCTATTGATCACTCTGTTTGAATCAAGCCGGCTGCACAGATTTGTTGTGCTGCTGAGTGGTGCAGACTCCACCCAGCAGCACATCTTGCACATTTTGATCAGCATCCATGCCTTTAAACCTAAAGCCTCCCCAGACAGATGAACTGAAGCTAATGTTGGGTTTATTAAACGTGCTCTAGGGCCTGGTCTTTTCCCTCTTGTGTTCTTCAGGTATGAAATGCTGGTACCAGTCATGCATCTAAAAATACCCTGCAGGGGGACGCTGCTGGTGCCCCTCCTCTTACTTTTCTGCCTTCTTCAGTCATGCTAACCTCTCAGCATGTAACCCCACAACTAATAAAATAAAAGCATGTCAAGAAATGTCTCATTTTTGAACATCCTTATGTCATTGATGTGATTGTTTGGAGTGAAAACTGGAACTGAGTGGTAAGTTTGATTAGCTGCATGACTCTAACACAGAGTTAGGTGTATGAGTCATAACTAGACACATCCTTTTTTCTTTACATTGGTCACTTCCTGTTTCGGTTTCCCTCAGCTCATCTGGAATAAATGTTCAACTTTTCTTGTTTTAAGCTAAAATGACAGAAATTTGTTGCTATCATACCATCTTCACTCTAATGATCAAACCTTTTTTTTAAGCAGCCATCTGTCAGTCAAAACAAGCCTTATTTCCACCATGACTCTGTTCTGTCTGTTCTTGCAGAAATGTTTCAAATCAGATCCAAATTCATAGGTTCACTTGCTGCCTGTTGCTTTTTTATATGCAACAGTCTTTTCACCACCACACCAACCATCCAGAACTGATCTGACTGCCAAGTTTATTTAGAGCATCCAGAACTGATCAACCAACACTACAGCTGAAAGCTCAGTTAGAACTGTCTTTACTGAGTAGCTGCTCGCTGCAGATTTATAGTCACTCTGATTTCTGCAGCCTCATACATAATTCAGAAGACAGACATTAACACGGAGATACTTTACTAATGTGTTAGTTGTAAATTCTACGCTCTGATTAAATCAACTCTACATAAGAGACATTTATATTTTATTGATGTAAATCTTACTCATGGGCAGCAACGGAAATTCTGACATAAGAATTGCTTAAAATAAATCAATACGTATTTCAACAAAACATTAAGATATTCGATTTTTCGTTTCAAAGAGATTAATTGGTGAGTTCTAATTCAGTTATAAAACATCCATCCATCCATCTATCCAGCCAGCCAGCCAGCAGTAATCTTAAAGGTGTTAACCTGCAGCTTTAAAGCATAAAGAATAAAGGGGAAATGTTGACCAGCAGGAGAACCGTTCCTAACCCACTAAAAATGTGGAGGAGCTGGAGTGAATCCCAGCAGGCTCTGGGCAAAAGGGAAAGAATGTCTTTGTGAAGGGACTCGTTTAATAGCCAGGACCAAAAATTAGAAATAAACCACCTTCAGGGATTAAAACAAAAAAAAGTCCTGAGCCTGAACTTTTTTCGACACTGGCAAGAAACTCGTGTCAAAACTATATATATATATATATATATATATATATATATATATATATATATATATATATATATATATATATATATATATATATATATATATATATATATATATATATATATATATATATATATATATAGGAGAGTGGGGGGGCATGGAATCAGAGATTGCATGAATGATTGATTTTTGAAATTCCAATACCAAAAACGTCCAGAAGATGGCAAAAGTGCATCTATATCTAGTGTCAATGAGAGGTTGTGTTCGGTGAGGAAAGCACAAACACCAATTTTTAACTCGCAAAAACGGTCAGTTATTGACGCTGCTACATGAACTGTTTCAAACGTGTAGTGTGCACAACCACACGAACAGCCCCCGTCCCCTTCTTCCTGATTGGCTAATATTGCTAGTTTCAAAGTGCTCCTTTGCTACCATTGGCTGACAAATGCAAGAGGGATTTCCATTGTCTTTTTAAAATTTATTTACCGTCAATGTTTTTTTTTTTTAATCTACGGGCAATTGCCGGAATACTTTAATGTCTGCACCTTAATTATCCTAAAGACCATTGGAATGAGCCGCTTTGACCAAACCAAGGATACAAGACTGACTGGTATCATGCTTGTTTCTGCAGATGTAAACCAAGACATGTCTGGTTTTCCTTCCAGGTCTGATCTTCCTCTTCTACCTCATCTTTTATGGCTTCCTGGCGGGAATGTTTACCCTCACCATGTGGGTGATGCTACAGACACTAGATGATAATGTTCCAAGGCACCAGGACCGACTGGCCAACCCAGGTTAGTCTGATCTCCCTCCCTCCATCAATGCTAGCTAAGAGATACGTTACTTTATATTTCCACTGTTTAATCACTACTTTGGCTAATTTCAGGATTGGTTGTCCGTCCTCTTGGTTTTGAGATTTCCTACAACCGTTCTGATCCAACGAAGTACAACCCGTATGTCCAACAGCTGCATGACTTTCTGCAGAGTGAGTCAAACATGGGTGCACCAATGTAGCATGTTTTAGAGCACCGGATCTGAAGCCTCTATGTGCTGCAGAGACCATGCATTAAGTCTGTTTGGTTCAGGATAAGAATTCATTGCATTTGAATAATTTGAAACAAAAGCATATGTGCTTCTTTACAGAGTACAACGACAGCATCCAGGAGGGGAATGACTTGTGTATGGTAGGGGAATACACTGATCAGGATGAGCAACCTAAAAAGAAGGTTTGTCAGTTTAAACGCAGTGCACTGCGTCTGTGCTCCGGACTGCCAGACACCAGCTTTGGGTACGCTGAAGGGCAACCCTGCATCATCGTCAAGATGAATCGGGTCAGTAAGCATCTAAAATGAATGTGTGTGATTGTACAGAGTATTTATTAACTTGCCACAGCTTACAAACGAATAACTTGCCTGTGTAAATTCTCAGTCATCCGGGTCATGGCAACCCCAAACAGGCTTAAATTGGTGACAACCACTAAGTTGTTTGAAGTATTGTATAAATAAAAAAATAAAATAAAGGGGGGAGTGGTGACCTACAGTAATGGTTAGAGCATTGCTCTTGGAATCCAGAGGTTCTGAGTTCAAGCCCAACTCCCACAGACTGCAGTTCTGGCTCCCTGAGCAAAAATCCCCACACTGCTCCCCGGGTGCCGCACAATGGCAGCCCACTTCTCCCCAAAGGGATGGGTTAAATGCAGAGATTTAATTTCGTCGCTCTGTACTTGTGACAGTGTAATGATAATAAAAGCTGGAAAAAAGAAATTGTATATGCAATTCAGTGCAGTGAGGACTGTACAGCCTACTACATTGGATAAACCAACAACAGTTACATAAATGCATGGTACAGCACAAGAGATCCAGTAGCTCTGGGCAAAGTTCAGCTGTACTTGTCTCCAAGCATAAAGGAGACAACTTTGAAGACCAAAGTGTTTAGATTTTGGACAGGGAGGACAGATGGTTTGAAAGAGGGGTCAAGGAAGCCATTGTGAAAAGAGGAAAACCATGACTAAAGAGGAGGGGGAGGGGGGGGGGGGGGGGGGGGGGGGGGGTTCCAAGCACTTAAAATTCAGACATGGAACTCATTCCATAGAGGTAACATAAGAACTCACTTTATTATTCAAATGACCAATCACATAGTCAATGCACAACAAAAGGCTACAACAATCTAGAAGAACTAGAGGTGGCTATTTGAGTATCATCTATCTTAGAAAGTGCGAAGGACGCTGGACCTCAATGCTGCTTAAATACATCAGCGATTCAACTACAGATTGCTCTGATGTGACCCAACAGACGGATTGGATAGGTGTCAAAACATAAAAAAATACTAAGCCAAAGTCTGGTTGCCTTCAAATTAAAGCCCGTTTGTTCTTATAAGACTAAGCAACCAAAAGGCACTCCATTCTTAAATGATCTTAGTGCTTTAATATTTATATAAAAATGCAAAAACGGAATGAATGAAAATCAGCTTTGGTTCGTGAATTGGAATAAAAGCAAAGCTTGCACCGCAATTTCTCACCTGGGGGCGTTATGTATATTCGAAATGAGCAAGGTAAAGGGTATGTTTCCTCATTGGTTAAAGTCAGTGGCTCTATCCGAACAAAATTGGTAAGGGCTCTTAAGGACTCCAAAGAGAAGTGTTGCCATGATAAGGCTGACAGAAAAGTGTAGGCTGTAGTTGGAAACGTAGCCTGTATGGTTTCCTTCACAGGTTCTTTAGCACAGTGAACACTATGACACCCCACATGCTTTGGGTGACAGGACTTATAAGCACAACATACCTCATGAAAATTAAGATACATTTTTTTTTAAACTTCTTTTTCTAGAAGGCTGTAGTGCCAAATTGACCAGGATCATCCGTGTCTCATCATGATGTCTGGATTAGGCACAGCAGTTTGAACTTCACTCTCTAACCTTAACTGCAACTTTATGGATAATCTGACTATAACCTAGAATAACAATAAACCCAAAAGCATTTGACTCATGAAGGACCTTTAGCAGCTTGCTGTTAATGAACTCAAGTTTTTTAATCCTATTTTTGCAAAGATAATCGACGTCTTTACAGTCCTGGCAAAAAAAAATGTGCAACTTCTGCCAACTATTGGTGAAAATCTGTAGAGAAACAGATAAACGTGTGCTTTAGTGTTCAGATTGACTCTGTATCTGCAGCTTAGGATGACTGAGGTGCACGTTTCTGTCTGCAGGTCATTGGACTGAAGCCCCAAGGAGATCCATACATCAACTGTACCTCCAAGGTAACCAATCCTTCTATCCCACCATGCTCCTGTGAATGTTTTCATGTGTAGGCGTGTGGCGTAGCTGCTGTGAATGAGTGCAGTGACAGATCGGACTTTCAATAACTCACAGTTTCTGTTTCACTGCCTGACAGAGAAACACGCCGCTGCAGATGCTTTACTTCCCACCTGAAGGCCGTCTGGATAAGATGTTTTTCCCGTACTATGGCAAGAACGCTCATGTAAGTGAATTCTGTTTGCTTCTCACATCAATATTGATGATTATGTGTTTAAAGATGAGGCGCCTCATACTGCTGTCCATGCAGAGAGGACCTGCAAATAGAATGAGCTAAAGATCTAAACCCATGAAGGATTTCAGGTCATTTCTGTTCAGTGAATTTATTTTGCACTGGTTTTATGCAACTTTACTTCATAATATTGATTCTCAAACATATTTTCAGCCTTCAGCCTGACATTTCCTTACATGGCCACATGATGGCGCCACTGTCATGTATGAAACTGAGCCTAAGAAGCTGAAGCTATAGTTTAATACTCTGACAGGAATATTCACTACACTGGCTTTATTATTGAGTGTATCTTAACAAACACATGAATTTCATTCTTCTCACATTCTTGATCCATTGGTTTTAATGTCATGTCTGCCCACCATTTGCTTTAACTCTTTTGAAAAGGCTTTTCACATAACTAAAGGCTGGGTTTTTAGGATGTTTGGGTCGTTTTTCCAGAAGGGCGATTATTAAGTCAGAGGTTGGACTGGATGGCTGGGCGCACAGTCTCTGCTCTAATTCACCCTAAAGCTGCTCTTTTGGGTTGAGCTGGACTCATTTTCTTCCTCAGGTCCAGAATCTTGTTAAAATGTTAAAAATGATCATTTTCCCAATAAAGTTTTCATATCCCCAGCCTTAATCTATGTTTTTACTTAAAGCAAGTGGTCTAGTTTAACTTCTGAAAAATGACCAAGAGTCTTAATTTAAAACCCATTGCTTGAAACTCAATAATAAAAGTGGATGCACACCAAACACCCCAGCAAAAGTGACACCAGTAAAAATCTATGCTCATGCACAAAACCATTTTCCTTTATAGATCAAAGCTGGACCTCAATGAGGCAGAGCTCTTGTTCTGCCCTCTTAATGCCAACATTAAGCCCTAAATAGTTCACGTAAAGCAACAAAGCACTTAGAGCTGTTGCTGATGACTTTTATTTTGAATGTAAGCTGTTTTTTAACCTTATTTATTTGTGTGACAGGTATGCTCAGCAGTGCTAGCATATATCACAAAGTGGTTTCAGATCTGATAAAGTTATCTACGATTAAAACATTATACTAGGTGAAATCAAATGTGATAGAAATTATAATGCAATCAGCTCAGTTCCTCTGTCACCGTTTAAGTCAGTTATTTCCCCTTTTCCATAATGTCAGTACTTATATAGATGGATTTGAGTTGGTGAGAGAGACCACACATTTTCCTCAACAGTTAAAAAAAAAACATATAAATAAGTCTTTGCGTGGAAGTTTGCCCCGGCCAAAAACATCCATCCATCGCGTTGCAACACCGGGAGACTCGATTTAACAATCCAGAGAGCATATCTCCACTGCTTTAGAGTCCTAACTCTGCATGCATGCAATTTTCAGGACTAGAGGTTGCTGCCTGATCACGTCAAACCATATAATGATGTGCTTGGCTCACCCTTCCTGAGCTAATTTAACAACACTTAATGTTTTAAAGCATGTCAACATGTACTGGTCCAAACTGTTGTGTCAACTGTTCCATTTTATAGAACATCACTAACATATTGGACTCAATGTGTGGGTGGGATCTAATCATGATGCCATGGTACTGAGCTTCTGACAGAGATCCATTTTTTGACAAAAAAGTATGACCTAGGTGACGGGCTTATTCCTGTCGAGGGAGTGGTTGTGACATCTGGATTAAATAAAGCAAAGGTAGAGATGTAGTAATGTAAAAAAAATGGGTCAATATATATAGCTATAATAAAAGAAATAGCCTTCCCTTGTTCCTCAGTGGGGAAAATTGAATTCCAGAGGTCAATAGTTTTTATTAAGTGTAATCTAGATGGGCCTCAAACCCATAATCTCTGACTTATGAAGCTAGTGCCTTACCAGTAGACACATAGGGCAGCGGACATATAAAAATAGCATCCTTCATATATGTTTCCTCTTTGATCTCTGTTTAAGTCGATCATCACCATCACTCTCACATGACTACCAACCCCCTATAGGGCTTTATAGAGTCCATTATATTGTAAAGTATGTTTGCATCTTCATAGATTCAGTTCTTAGATGATGATTACATTGGAGGATTCATCTTCACCTGAATGAAACCTTCTACTTATGGAACAGAAACAAGCCTCTTGTATTCAGACTGAAAACTTTTGGTCAATTAAATGATTTCCATTTTTTTTTTCTCAGTTAGGATGGATTCACTCACTAATGTGTTCAGTTAAGGATGTACTAGCCAAATGTTCCATTTTATTTTATTTTAGTCACTGATATGAAACACAAAATACAGACTAATTGATTTACATTTTATATGATTGTTATTTGGAGGTGGAAAAGCAGGTGAGGAGCAGACTAATTTATTTAGGGACCACCGTCTTTGATCTGAGGTGACCTTTGAAACAGAGTAGTGTTGAGTCTAACCAAACACTTCAATAATTCCACAAACAGAAGGGATAAAAGAAATAAAAAAAGAAAAACTGCAAGGAGTCCAGATCTTCTAATGAAAATAACAGGAAACAGACAGAAAGTTGCAAATGTATTAAATGTATGAAAAAAGTTGCAGATTGAGAAGCAGATAGCAACAAACTATGATTCACTTAAAGCCAGAAGAATTCAATAATGGGTTCCTGTCAGAAGAAGCATGTCCAGAAGCCTGGAGGATTGATCAGTTCTGGAAATATTGACCCTTATCAGAAACTGAACAGGAAATATGTCCCAGTAAAATTTTACATAAAGTTTTACCTAGAAACAGCAAAACATTTGCAGTTTCTAACCTTGATTTACGTTATTACATCATGTTCTACTCACCCATATGAGTTTTGTTTCATTTGGAGCCGTTAGGTTATACCAAAGTAACGTCTTCCTATGAGCAACGACTTGAAGGCAGAAACTAAACTGTTCATAATTTATAATTTATGTTACGCCAGCATTCATAACATGTAGGAGAATCACTGTCCCCCAGACATCACTGGTTATATTTTTTATATTTATATCTTTTAAAAACAAAGCGGAGTGTGTATGACGTCATCCGAGCGCCAGACTGGAGTCGTAACAGGCAGCGCGGGCCACAGGCGGCTACACTCTACTCCTTCTATTCATTCGGCTAGCTAATCTGAATCCTTCGATTCCATTTGGAGAGCGAGATCATCTGTGGTAGTAGCACTAGACATCTTTCAGGCATGTGAGTAAAACTAGCAGCAGTTCAGCGAACAGGATGAATGAATGGTAGCCGGCGCACACGGATGACGTCATACACACTCCGCTTTGTTTTTAAAAGTTATAAATGCAAAAAATATAACTGTGGATGTCTGGGGGACAGTTATTCGCCTAAATGTTCTGAATGCTGGCGTACCATAAAGAATAAATTATGAACAGTTTAGTTTCTGCCTTCAAGTCGTTGCCCATAGGAGGACGTTACTTGGATATTACCTAACAGAATATCTTCAGAACGGCTCCAAATGACACAAAACTCATATGGGTGAGTAGAACATGATGTCATAATGTAAAATCAAGGGCCTAATGTAAAAAAGAACGACGTTCCCCTTTAAAGTAGAGTAAAAACAAGGAAGATACTTTGAACTCTTTCCTATGTAAAACGCATAGGAAAGAAAATAATGAAATAAAATAAAAAGATAAACTGTTCAGAAGAAGAACACATTGGAGCCAAAGAGAAAATTTCCAGACACTTTTGGTCATGGCTTTAACACAAAGATAAAAGAAGATATTTTCTAAATTTAGTGCGAGTTTTAAACCTTTTGTTCTTCTCCTAGTTGTCTTCTGATGATTTCTGCAGATCATTGTGATCCCAAAGCAGATTAGAACCTTAACCTCTGAATGTTCCTGCAGCCTGATTACGTCCAGCCTCTGGTGGCCGTCAAGCTGCTGTTAACTAAAGAAGACTACAACGTGGAGCAGACGGTGGAATGTAAAGTGGAGGGAACCAACCTACGCAACAACGATGAGCGGGACAAGAATATGGGTCGGGTCACTTTCCGGGTTAAGGTCCTTCAGTAAATACTTGGTGCCATGGACTTCCTGATTTTACACAAAAACCAATTTTAAATTCAGGAAACCTTTAGCCCAGACCTGATCTGCTCCTACTCGTATGAATCTGGGTCATCTAATCAAATCTGGACCTCTAAGGTTTAACCATACACTGCCAGAACCTTTGCAACCTCCTTGCGGGTCAGTCCAGTTTGACCGATCATCCAGCTGTTTACATGGATCCTGTTCAGACGCTGGGAACAGATCAGGTCTGATGTGGAAGCATGTGACCCCAGAGCACACCAGTGTGTTGTTTTTAGACTTTTCTATGTTAGTGAGATAATAAGAAATAATCTGATTCCTATTGTGAGTCGCAGGGCGGCGCAGCAGAGTCAGCCTGATCTAATAAACACTGGTTGCTGTTTCTTTAGCTTTCACATGGTCTTAAAATCAAACAACCTGATATCCAGTCACCCAAACAGGAATCAGCTGCAATGTTTTCCATTTTTCTGACTGAGGAGTTCAGGCTGTGCAGCAGAAGGTTTCTTGATACTAAGGAACAGATAAACTAAACCACAGGGCTGCTTCTTACCGACCTTCAAAAATTAAAGTCTAAGATTAATCATGACTGATTTATAAAAAATAATCAAAGATGTGTTTTTCAGGAAGTGGGTAAGAAACCTGCACTGGAAAAATCTAAATCTAGGTAAGTCATTTGTTCTTAAAATAAGTGAATTTGTTCAGAAATCTTGCCAATGGAACCAGACAATTTATGGCCCATGGCTTTGACATCTCCTCAAGTGTAGCTTTGATAGTTGTGGCTGAAATCTGGTTAGTTTCTGCATTAATTTTGATCTAAACCTGATTGATGATTAAAGGCTTCACCCAACCTCTAACCAAGAGTGACAGAACGGATTGTTGATCATCATACGGAGGTCGTTGGGGTGTGTAAACATTTGAGCTTGAATGTACCTTCAGCAGAGTACCAACTTAGCTCAATTCACGAGTAGGAGGATTTGCACAATTATCAGGTCAGGTTGACTGCTTTTTTATCTTTCAGAATCATCATATTTTGGGGACTGAGAGTGTCGATAGTACAGATATGCAGATTTCTGAAGAAAAAACAGAGAATTAAATGATTCATGATGACAAGAACCTTTTCTTCTCCAACCAGCTCCCCAGGCTTTTACTAAATGGAAAACAGAGCTGAAGCACCACAGTCTCCTACCAGCTGATCCAGACTAATACTAGATGTGATCGTTTACAAGTAAAAGCTACCAAAAGCATTTAGCGACCAAATAAAAGGAGACTCTCACTGCGCTGCCCTCCCCCATCTGTGGATGATTTAGCAAAAGAAAGATTTAAACCTAATACAGTTATTATTTTAGCAGATTGAATTATTTATTTCCTCTCGGATTCGTGAGATCATATTCATCAAGTGTATTTCCTTTCCGTTCATCAGCCTGTACAGTTTTTAAAATGTGAACTATGTGTGATTGTAATGAGTTCTGTGTGACCATTTAAACACCATGAAAAACATCAGCAGAGTTACAATTAGTGAAACGCTGTTACGACATCACTGCTGTTTAAATGTGCTGTGAAATCTTTTTGTTTTCTTCACAATAACAGAGAAATTGCTGTGAATTACATAACTGACATGATGATGATGATGATGTTCCTGTATCTGCTGGAGGAGCAGAAAATACCTGGACAAATGATTATTTAACTCTGCTCTAAATAAATTATACATCTTCTAAATGTTGGGCCCCCATTTTTTAGGCTGTGTGTTAAAGCTGTATGAGTTGTTTTTATGTATTAAAGCACATCATCTTTTACAGAACAATTAAACAAAGGTGCGGCCATTAGTAAAACCCTAATATGAAGTTGTTACGAAATATTATATCCTGCAGATAATGAATAAATTATTAACTAGAACTGGAGTTGTAGTTAATTATTTAACTTATTAAAAATCGGAGCTGAAATCAAATTAGTGTTCTTAGTTGAGTAACTAGAGCTTTAATTTGCTCACTTACCAGGGTTTGTGCCTTTCACCTCTGAATGGTTCCTGGACCAGCTGTTAAAGTCCAGGTATCTACACCTATTTACTGACTTAGGCTAGGTTATCAGCAGAGCTATTAATTATCAATCAAAGAACTACTTATCTCTATTTATTAAAACTGTTACAAAAGAGGGTGGATCTGGCCCGAGTGATGAATCATTCGTAAATGAATTACAAACAACTGCAAGTTGAACAATGATGTCTTTATTCTAATAATTTAGGATTACTGAAATATAACATCTATGCAGAACACTGCACGCTATTAGAAAAAAAATCAGGTAGACCAAGTGATTAGTCTTGAAAAAAAAAGAACAAAACCCTAAGAGTCTGTTTAACTGGCTTCTGAGATTGTCCAAGATAAGCCAGATGTTATTACATTCAATAATGTCCGTTTGGAATAGCAGCAGACATGATGATAACAACAGTGCAATTAAAACAGCGTGAATATATTCGGCTTAAATGATAAATGGTTAAAAATGCATTAACAACACCAGCATGTTACAATCAATCTCAAACAGCAACAGTAAAAGTTTGTTCAACCAAAGGTAGGGGCAGGCAGTGTGTGTGTGTGTGTGTGTGTGTGTGTGTGTGTGTGTGTGTGTGTGTGTGTGTGTGTGTGTAAAAAAAAACCCCTTTTCATATGATGAAAGGGAGGAGGGGCAGAGTGTAACAATAGATGGGGATTCTTAACCAGATTGCAACACACAGTTAAATGTAAGCAAATTCTCTATAAACTAAACTTAAAGCAGAAAGATAAGGAAAAAACAGGATAGAAGGAAAAGGAGAAAGAAATCTCACTTGCAGCAATTCCGGGTGAAGGAAGCACTGGGGGGATACGGCTCAGAGCCTGGGTGGTGGTTAGAGGAGGAACCAAATGCAGAGACTGAAGCTGAAGGTGGTTACTTGCAGATTTAATAACAAATGGGTAACAGAAGGAAAAAATCCAAAAAACATAAAACCAGAAAAAGCACAAAAACTGAGAACCCCGAATACTTACAACATGGGGGCAAAGAGATGATGACAAACCAGCAACAGTGAATGAGCAGGAGTTGCATATGTGGGAGAGAGAAACAAAGACCAGGCTAATCATCTGATTGGGAGCAGGTATGAACAGGGGAGTCTAGAAGGGAGCTAGGGAAAAGGAGACTGACACAAGAGGGCAACAGAGGGCAAACAAGACATACCTTAGAACTCAAATACAATAAAAAATGACTAGAATAACACAAAATGGAAATAAAACCAATAAAACCTTAAAGATAGAACTTAAACAGAACCAAAATCATGGCACTAGTGGCAGCTGAAAGCAGACAACTTGTGTTTTCTTCATTTCACAATTCAAATAGCAATAAAAACTCTTCTCTGCTCAATTTTATATTTTAAAATACATCTAAATGCAACGCTTAGTGTTCTATGGTGGCCGTATGATGGCTGCTGCTTTGCTGGACAGTGTAGAAGCAGTTTTATTGTCTTATATCAGAAATCAGAATCAGAATATATCCTACAACATGGCCCTATACTTACTTAGCAACAAAACTTAAAGGTCAGTTTTGAGTCTTAGTAACACCATGGTCTCCAAGGCTGCATGAGGGGGTTTGGCAAAAACAGAGAACGTCTGTGTAAACAGCTCTTGAGGGTAGCAGTGACTTTGACGCAAATCAGCACACGTGAATTCCAGTAAGATTCCCGTGCACGTGCATCCACACAGTGCGATGTGGAGCCTATAAATGCCGCCCACAATGGATTGAAGGTTGGGGGAAATTACAGATGTGAGGACATAGCGCTGAATGTATGAAGTGTTTAAGACAGCTGTATGAATTCGGTTTTGTAAATAAATGTTCCCCCCTCCGGATGACGATGGTGTGAATCGAGGCCTTCTTTCTGTCATAAGAGAATTCTACCAATGAGCTTCCATAAATTGGTGCATTGGGCCGTATTGAATCGAATCAGGACCTCCTGGGTGAAAACAAGGAAAAAACTAAGAAAAAAGGAGTGATGAGTTAAATTTACCCTCCTATTTATTAATTAGTTTAGGCAAAAAGCTATTACTGGTCACTGAATTAATTTAAGCGATTCACCTTTCTGTCACCGGATGTGCTGCAGCATAAATTGGCATCTTGAGATAAATTTAGCTGTCCAGACCTGGCTCAGAGTATGGAATTATTAACAGTAATCTGCTTAAGCGAGATTGCACCATAACTTTAGAATTTGGTGGAAACTAGCGGTCACGGATTATAATTGATGTATCATTATGAATGATGCAATGAATGAATAGCTAACCCTAGTGACAAATTAAGTTTCGTAGAATATGTCTCTGAGTTGCAGGTCGACTGAGCCTGAAGGGCTGTTGTTGTTGAAAAATAGGCCTGAGTCCAGAGGGACTGTATTGAGATCTCGTATGTTGTTGTTTATCTCCGGAGAAAGAAGCAACAGAGAGCAGTTTGGCTCTGTGTTGATGATGTTAGACCAAAAGTTGTTAAAAAGAGTTAAAAGTGCATGCAAATTAGTTTATATTGGCTGCTTGGGTCTATGAAGTTAAAGAGTTATGTGCACAAATAATTAATTGCCATGGCATTTAATGGTATTTAATGGCCATGGCATTTAATGGTATGGTATATTTAATGGTAATGAATGTTACATAAGTCTAAAAACATAAAAGACTAAACAAAAGAAAGAAAGTGACCACTTTATATCTGCAAAAGACGTTTGCTTTCACTTTAATTGTAACTGCGTCACATTTTCAAATAGCTGAGCTGCATGAAAAATAGGTGTCCAGTTGTTTGTTTTAACAGAAAAGGCTTAACTGTGCCCAATGTTTAAACTGTTTGGTCGAAAAGTTGTAAGACAACATTTAACAGCTTCAAAACTATTTTTTTTTTAGGAAAAGCCCCCTCCCGTCTCTTCTTCACTCCTTGTCCTATGAGCCTGTCTGTGTGTGCGCTGACACACACACACACACGCTGGAAGCTTAAAAATGCCATGAAGCTCTGTATCTGTTAAATAGGACTATATATTATAATAAACAAAACTATGTTAGAAGCCGGCATGTGTCTGTCTGTCTGTCTGTTTGTCTTTATGTTCTTTGTCTGTCTGTTCTATGTTGTTTGTTCAATGTCAACATGTCTGTCTGGGGTATAAAATATTTGTTCTACTATGGTTCAGTATAAACAGATCAATAGGAGAATTAAACAGCAGATAATTAGATTACAGTTATGTTAAAACATAGATTAATAGGGCAATAAACATAAAATCCCATGAAGAACTGGATTCTTTCTATGCATCCACGTCCGGACATAATGAAAGAAAGGTATGCAGGAAACCTGTAGCTGAAAAAGTCGAATTTCTGCACATTATTACTATTTGGATGCGTTTTGAGTAATTCAGTAATGAGTGGGACCAAGGTCATCAGAAAATACTACAAGACAAACAATAATAAAACTTTCTAAAAAGAAAATACAAATAATGTGCACAAGAAATAGGATCTGGTCTAGACAATTTCTATTACAAAGTGTTTGGTTTTAGTTATATTTTGTTTATGTTTTGCAAATGCTATCGATGTTGCTGTGATTTTTGGAGGTGAACCTTGACAGGAGCTGTAAATATATGCAAAGTGTTGATCTTCTTGTTCCAATGTTTGTAAAAAGGGAAAAACTATGGTCGATTTTATAAGAAATATATTGATTAATACATTTGCATCTTACTATGTCTTGAAATTAACATGTTAAAGGTTAGAAAATCAATTTGTACTAAAAGTGCTGTAAACCCCCCCCTCCCACCTCCCACCCACCCAGTAAGGTCCAAAAATGGTTCTGAGTTCTGTCCCAAGGCAAACGGAAACGCAACACACACATATTTTCTACACACACACATTATGCCTGACTCACACACAGCTGCTTAAAATAGCCGTTCACTGAGAGGCAGAAGGAGGATAGCACAGTTACCAGGGGCGATCATCATAGATATAGGGCCCAAGGATTTAGAAGCATTTTTTAACTGAAAACAATGTACAGATTGTTACACTAGAATGATATTGTGTACAGCATGTAAAGTGCCTGATTTTGGAGCTTATATTTGATTATGATAAACCCCACATGATTAAACAAAATCTTTCTTTGCACATAGATGACAGAATTAGAGCACTCCTGAGTTAAGTTGGTCTTACTGTAGCAAAGTGAATAAATGAAACACTGATTATTAAAAATACTTATAGGTGAATTAAAAAGATTTGTAATCATTCAACTTTCAAAAAGAGCAAGTTATATTTATGCTATGGATTTCTGAAAGTAATTAACCTTTTGATGAAATTTGATAGAACAAAATAAAACTCAACAATTATTAGGGGTAAGAGATAAATAAAATGAAGTCCTATTAACACCTTGAAGCAAAAGTTGGAAAGTGGTTTTGCTATGGGAAAATTATGATTTATAAATTGTTCTTTCATAAAACAATGAACAAGGCAAATTATTTACATGGAGAATTTAATTAAACCTAAAACAGTATTGTTGTTGTCTTAAACATAAAATGTCATTAAAAAACAAAACATGCATTATTATTTACAGAGTAATGAGATAATCTAAAAATGGTATGTAGACATAGGAGTTGGATGAGTGTGGCTGAAAGGTTAGGATACGGTGCCCTGAGCCCAGGGGGTGCTTGGAGCTGCACGAGAGTCGTCCAGACTTGTGACCAGCAGATTACTAAA